TGACTACTCGTTGGCCCATTCTCATATCAATATTCTGCGTAATTTTTCTTGGGTTATTTCTTTGTCTTAACTTACGTCTCGCACTGACTCCTTATCTATCAATAACATCTTGGGCCGGGACCCTTACTTCCTTTCCTTGACGCCGTGTTTGTATAATGTTCTGGAATCGTAGCATATCTGTAGGCTTTGAATAAGTGCAATCTCCTCCCTTTTTCATTTTTTTTATCGCATTCTTCCTTTAACATTCCATAATTATTAGAACTCCTTAATTCTGACTTAATGCCATATCACTCCATATTCCCCCCTTTAGGGGAGTACTAACATTTAGTGCTACGATGATCTACGTATAAATGTTTTACCTCTTCATCTTTGGCATCTTTTCACATCATCGATGACCCTCACTCGCCTTGCGGTAATCCTTCTGTACCAAGGATAACAAATTTCCTTACTCACGAGGAAAACACCTAGTGTAACCGGCACCTACAGTCCCTTATGCTTAACTTTGCTCACATTGCTTGCTTTAGGGAAGCGTCTTCCTGAATGACCATTCTCTGAATTCCTCATGAATCTTCTTTTGTGGTCCATTCTATTATTGCCGGAACGCAATCTGAAATTATCATGATGTTGACTATTATTAAATCACTTAGCCCCTAATTCATGTTTAGTTTATCTTGTTCACCAGCCCATACTGATTTCTATTACTCTGGGGATTAACTCTCTCTTCTGGTAGTCGCGTTGGAGTCACGAACTTATTTCTCGAAATGAGGATATGACTTTATGACCTATACTCTTTTGTTGTCTCAAGGCCTGACTCCTCTCGTCTTTTCCTTAACTTGACTACATATCCTATAATACCGTCATTTACCGTTGTCATCCATGCATCACATCTTACTCATAACGCTTCATTAGCTCTCTTCTCATTTCCTGCTAACATTTCTGTCTATCACTTTATTTTGAAAATTTCAACAGGACATTCTTTTGCTTTTAGCTCCCCTTGCTCCATCTTTGGCTCTTCGGGTTGCCTAGCATTCTTTCTTTACTAGGGACGGGAGCCATACTAAGGTAACATTTATCCTTTCAAGGCTTCCAGTGCCTATCTTTATAGTACTCATATCTAGCTGTACTATTTTTGAGTGTACTATCTGGGTGTCTCACAAGGAGATTTTGTTAGTACATTTACAATATCCTGCGGAAATGTCAACTAACGCAAACAATCCAACCATCATTTTGGGTTACTCTAATCCCAGCCGGTTCCTGATATTCGTCCTTCTCTTAACTATTTATGTTAGCTCCCATGGAGCATAATTGAGATTAGTGTGACTAATTGTACATACCTCTATTACAATTGAAGGTATCTCAAAATGCTTATATTTCTCTGCTTGAATTGTAAATATTGTTAATCTTCATTAACTGGGTACCTCGTACCCTTCTTCATCTTGCTTCTTTTACTTGCTGAAACTTGTGTCTACCTTCCGATTCTCTTATTCCTTTTTACCATAAGAGTGGATAGACATTCTTGCTTTAGGGATCCTTATCAAGAAACTTACATGTCTTAGTACACACATGATCTGCTGAATACCTCATATTTATGCAAAAATCGAGTTCCTCTGACTCAACTCTCCCACAACTATATCTCTTACCAACTGTCTTTCTGGATGTAGGCATCGTCTTATTATGAATAAGATAGAGTTAAGAAATTGAGTTCTTACAATTGAGCTCTATCACACGATCTAGACTAAGAAGAAAGAGTGATAGTCCTAAATACCCTGTAGCCTTCTGCTTATAAGTGTGGTGCACGACACACTCATAAACAAGACTCTACTGGACACGGCTTGTAGACTCCCTAGGACAGAACTGCTCTGATACCACTTTTGTCACGACCCAAACCGATGGGCCGCGACGGGCACCCGGTACCTTACTCAACCGAGTACCAACGTACCGTATCTTTCTTATTACATCATCATATACATGTGACATACATGCCTAATAGGCCAACATGATAATTTATAAACTCAAAACATAGGCCGACAAGACCGACAAGGCCGTACAATCTTTCACGTACACGATATATGTCTACAAGTCTCTAAGAGTACATAAATGTTATAAAGGTCGGGACATAGCCCCGCTATACCAAACCATACACATCTAAATCATACTGACCAAACAAGCAGCTCCGGAGCAAATGGAGTGCACCAATATCTTCTGCTGAGCTGATCACCTACTTGGAGGACTCTCGACCTGTCTATCGAGACTTGCGGGCATGAAACGCAGCGTCCCCAGGCAAAAGGGACGTCTGTACAAATAATGTACCGAGTATGTAAGGAATGAAAATCAGTAAATAATAGACATGAGAGAAACATGGAGTAAAAGACTCGACATGTACGTTTGCATAGCTCTGTGAATCATTTCATTTTTTATAATGTCATGCATATGCGTATAAATGTCATACCATGCATAGGTATATGCGTTCATAATATCATCAAGTCTCTAAGGACATCCCATCATATTATTTCGGCCACTGTGGGCAAATCATCAACGTATACCAGCTGATCAGGTGGTGGTGCGTATATAACGCCGTAACCTTTTCCCATATCCCATATACATATAATATACATCTATATGCGTATATAGCGCCATATGGTCATGGGTCAATGTACATGTATAAATGAATGCAATGCATGAGAAAGTACGTCAATAAAATCTCTCGGAATGTCATAAGACCATTATGCCTTTGATTAATATCATTAAGTAAACTTTTTCAACTTGCGTATTTTTCTGAGACCCATGAGCAGATGATAAAATAATAAGACACATGGGATTCAAGAATATAGACACCTCTAATACTTCTATGAATAGAGTCATTTATGGAAGTTGTGCATTTTCTCATTTCGTTTGTGTCATATAGATCATGCCAAAAGAAAGAAGGGATAACCTTAATATACCTGAGTCGATTTTCTTGACAATCCCTCTAACACACGTCAATTGTGACAACACGTAACGGCAAAATCGGAGTAGGAAAAATCCGTATGATATTCTTGAGAAAGATTACACCGTATTCCATTATAATTGCCCAATCCCACGTTCTGATATATGACTTTCATATTCTTAAGAATGAATATGTGACTTTCATGTTCTTAAGACTTAAAATTCCTTTATTAAAAGGATATGTGACTAACTTCTAGCCTTACCATGCATGATGTATTTGATAGAAGAATAATGATCTATAACCACGGTATATAGAGTCTACCAGTAATCATTGCAAGAGCACGCCCCATTCTTAAAATGGTGGAAACAGTTTGAATCTCTCAAAATAATTTCCTTTTCTATTAACTTTAATGATAACTTCATAAAGTTGTGGCAATCCAAACAAATACGGATGTTCTTTATAATCTTAATGACACTGCAGCTAACATTCTTTGCCAACTCCCACATCTCAATTTTTGCCACATAATCTAATGACTTAAAGAGTCACAATTCTTGGGGGTGGCTTACTACCACGTGGGGAGGGTCTAACTTTATCCAACTCTTTAATTTAATTGCTAATCTCCCACTAAAATTAATAATTACCCGATTATGCACATAATTAAGAATTATCTCAAATTACTTAAAACACTACTCACTTTTAACACACCTTATACACCTTACTATCATGGTCATGTGGTACCTTGTATGACACTAGTCCATAAATACCAAGTATTTTAGCTCGGGCCGTATTTTATCCCAAAATGCCAAACTTCGACGAAATTCATTTTATTCGATTCGTTTACCCTTTATCCTTCACGGCACTTACTTATCGCTCATTATAAATAGCATAAATGCGTGTAACCTCAAGATAATGTCATTCCCGAGCTTCCATTAATTTATTTATGGCGTACTTTCACGTACGAAAACATGGGGTGTTTTGGACAAAATTGTAATTTAATTATTTCCCTCATATTTAAGAATTTAAAATCACCTAAAGTTTTGATTATTTGAGTATTCCTTATTTGAACTATGTAGGAATTCTTAATATAGGACTAAAAGTTAATCGTGACCTTATTACATATAAATCTTTTCTATTTTCCTCCTTTTCCTCAAAAATGTTATTTAGAGCATTATCACCGTCCAAGAAATCAAGAAAAATTATCACGTTAATCAAATATGGTATATTTTGCTAGGATATGTGTAAGGTGATTTGTAATGCTTATTAATTATGACTATGAGCAAGTGGTTGACATTCGTGATAAATATAGTATTAACAGTAAGATTTTTTTCATGACAAAGTCATTCAAATGATACAAAAGAATATATATCAACAACATCATTCGTTAGTTAAGTGAGATAATATCCAATCAGTTGGACTCAAATAATCAACTAATAATTTTTAATTATTTAACTGTTATTCTATTTTATAACTCAAAAAAATCTTAAAATGTGTATGTTTAAAAATATATATTTTAAACACTATTGTAATGATTATATGAATACACTCTAAATCTACATGAAATGTTAATGGACTTATATACCTTTTGAGAGTAATATATTACATGGTACACTTCACATTGGATAAATAACAAAAACATTAATTTATGCCTTAGTCTCTGTGACAATCATTTTATTTTTTCTAGAAACAAATAGTTGGGTTTAAATACTGCCCAATAAATTTTTTGTACTAACTAAATCTGCAATTTGGAGTCTCCTTATGATTTCTGTATTTTTTCGATTTGAGTTCCAATATGGATAAGATGAAATTCATATTAGGTACTTGAGCAAATAAAATTTATTCTTTAAGGCCATGAAGACAATAGTATTGTTGCATGATATTTAAATATAAGTCAACATATTATTCTACATTGTCTGAGCTACTAAAGAAAATGCACGACTCATATATTGAAGTTATAATAATGCATTAGAATACTGTTGTGTGACATAGTTTTTCACTTTCTTAAGTTGGCTAAATATGATCAATATTAATTATTTTCAAGACCTTATATTTTCGTAAAATTTTATAAATAATGCAGGGGTGGCTACTGCTTTTGCTGCTAGAGACATCCTTGGTAATGTTCTCAGTGGACTCTCCGTACAGCTTTCACAACCTTTTTCAGTTGGCGACACGATAAAAGTATGTCAAAAGTTTTCTTAATCGTTATCAACATTTATCTTTTTGTTTTGTTTTATTGCGAGTATCTAAAGAGTTGGAACAGTTTATGCAAAGATTAGAAGTACATGGCAAGCCTTTATTCAGTATAACAGCTATCATGGATTGTTTAGTGTAAGGCATAATGGTGGATAATGAAAATACAATGTGAAGGCCAACTAAACACACTTTTTTTTGGGTCTATAACTTAACACACTCTGTATATCAACTATTTATTCAAGTTCTAGAGATGCATCTATTGGCATGATGTCGTAATAATGAGGTAGTTTTAGGGAAAGGAAGACAGTAAAAGATATGGAATGAAGTGCTAAGTATATGAAGACTTGCGGTGTTGAATGTGATCCTAACGGGGTTGAGTGGAAAAGCGGAAATCTTGTATCCATCCCTAGTTGGCGGAATTAGTGTTTAGTTGAGTGATATATTCTAATATATATGCGGTATTGCAAGTCAGGTCAGCTCCACTATAAGTATTCGTGTGTAGCAACATTCGCACGGATAGACTGTGCTGAGGACTTACGCTTACGCTGGCAAGATGGTTGAGGTAGGCAAGGGAGTAATACATTTATGCCTCAGGTGTCAAACTCAATCCTGCTCACTATCTGAACTTGAATGAATAATTGCCGGTCTAGTTCTGATGTATATGTGCGTCAAAAAGCAATTAGTAGGACAGATGGACCCATAAAAAGTGATTGATCATGATAACTAGAAGATAAGAGAAGAATAGGGATATTTAATTATGACTGGAAGTTAATTACCAAAACAAAAAATTATGACTGGAAAGCTGGTTTAACAATAAAATGATATCTAACTAAGAATAAAAAGAATATTTGCGCAACAACAATTATAATATTGTTCCCAATGAATAGATCTACCAGAAGTCAGAACCCAATTCCTGTTTTTCTTACAACATCTGACATTTAATCAATTCCATGGGTTGTTTAACAGCTACCTTCATTTGCAGGCTGGATCAGTGGAAGGTCAAGTGGTTGAAATGGGGCTCACCACCACATCATTGTTGACTGCAGAAAAGTTTCCCGTTATTGTCCCAAATTCACTATTTTCTAGCCAGGTGGGTTTTCTTAGTTATTTGATGCTCTACTACTTTGCTTCATTCCTTTGGTAGGTTATAATTTTGAGACCCCTTTTACTTTAGATCTCTACCCAATTTAACTTGCATGGTTGTGAATAAGGGTGTAGCTATGTAGAACCAAGGGGGTTCAATTGAAGAATCCCCTTCATCTGAAAATTATATTGCGCAAGCAAAAACAAGTTTATTTGCTTATATATAAACTGCGGAATCCCCTTTTCATAGAGGAAGATACTATTGTAATGGCAAAGGGGTTCAAAAATTGCTTTTAGTCTTACGTTCAAATCCCAAGTATGTCTGAAACTTTGCTGGCCGTGCTGGATCATGTGTCAAATAGATCTTATAGGTTATTTGCTCAGCAGGATAGCTTCTTATAATTGAAGGCAGCTTCCACTTCTTAACTTCTATCGAACAAGTGTGTCAGATACTTCCAGATATCCAGAATCTTGGTATTGTGACTAGTGTTGCTTAGTGGCAAATCTGCTCAAAACATATCTTGGCGTTACTGTGTCTATATGCATACTTCTTTTATGAGGCTGGACACTTCAATGGATCACTCAAGAGAGAGCTTTCTATTAAATCTTTTGTGAAGGAGCTGAATATAATTCATTTCTCTATCTTGTGTGAAAGTGAAAAATAATCATATAGATTCTTAATCTATGGATCTCTAACACCTTTAGTTCTTTTGGCTCTGATATTTCTTACTTTGTTGAAGTTTCCTCCCTCTCTCCACCATTTGGGCCCTAAAAAATTAAAGTAAAGAAACGGAAGCAACAGAAAAGGAGGAGAATTTGACAGACTGTTTTGTGCAAATTACAGGTGATTGTGAATAAATCACGTGCTCAATGGCGTGCCTTGGTCACTACAGTTCCTTTCCAAGTTGAAGACTTCGATAAGATTCTCCAGATTTCAGATGATGTAAAAAACATGCTCAAATCTAATCCAAGTGTTTTCTTGGAAAAGGAGGCACCATACTGCTACTTGTCTAAAATAGAAAAAACATATGCAGAGCTGACTCTTGGGTGCAACTTAAGATATGCAGTATGCCTTCTCTGTTTCAGTCTTTCCTAATGGAATTTATTTTGATATTTGTTGCTTGAGTTTCATGTCTACTTTAAATACTAGCACAATATTTATGAATTTATCTAGTGTTTAATGCTAAAATACGAGATAACTTTCTTTCAACTATTTTATAATAGTTATGTAATACTTGAACGACACTCAGAGCTTGATAATATTTGTTTACTATACCGATTTGGTGTGAATCTACGACGACAGTGGCTGCTGGAGAAGATGACGATGAGAGAAGGAAGCAAAGTATTGACCGCTGGGTAATGAAACCCTACTTTGAAGTACAAAAGGCATACAGTTGTATTAAAGAAGGGGATGGTCACGTGGGAACATCAAGAAACGTGCCCAGTTCAAAATTTGATAAAGGGAAAAGGGCACATGCTGGTGTCCAGATGGCTAATAATGTATTTAACTCAGGTTTTACACTGTCCCATAAACCTACTTACCCCACAAAGGCTAACTCTCAAAAGAAGCCTTTGGACTCTGTTTTAAGTGAGGAGGCCCAAATTCTAATTTCGGCCCAGTCCATTATGCCCAATTGGAATAAAGTGGATCCGTTTGTCGTGGAGATTGAAGCAAACTGTTTTATCCCAGTTAATGTTGCTCAAGTTTCAGAAGAGGAAAAGAATGAAGAAAGGGAAATTTCTTTGTCTCTCCTGCAGGAGAGAGAACAACTGATGAACCAAGAAGAATGTGATAAATATGAAGATGCCATGACTAATATTGATGGTGAAGGTCTACAAACTGTTGGGGTGGGAAGCAGCAAGGACATGCTGATGATAGTACAAACTGAATCTGATGGTTGGGTAATTGAGGAAGCAGAACCTCTGAAGATACAATTACAAAGCGACGATTTAGAGGGGGAGATGGATGCATCCTTATGGGTTCATCAGAATGTAATTAAGCTCAACAAACAATTTGGGGTGGACTTCCATGGCTGCGAAGAGGATGCTCTGGCTTTATTTATGAAGATTGATAGATGCAGACAAGCGAAGAGACAAGAGTCAGAAGTAGTAAATATGGTTACACCCAAAAAGAAAGGCAGTCAGGAGTTAAAATGTTTGATTTTCGATATGAAGTTTAAAAGTACTGGGGCAAGAAATAGGGGGAAAGAAACCTCAACCATGGATCAATGAATGTGAAAATCATATCATGGAATGTGAGGGGATTGAATCGTAAAGATAAGAGAAGGGTGATTAACATCTTGATTCTCAATTGGAAAGCTGATGTATATATAGAAGGGATTGTCAAAGAAATTTGGGGATCAGGGGTATAAAATATGGGCAATTGGAGGCTAGTGGCACTAGAGGTAGTATCTTAATGCTATGGGATAGTAAAATTTGGAAAGGGGAGGTAGTAACTATTGGTGCTTATTTATTGACTTGCAAATTTGAGTCACAGTCTCTAGATTTTAATTGGTATATGATAGGAATTTATGCACCTAATTGCATCAGAGAAAGGAGGAAAGTGTGGTGGGAAACAGGGGGTACTAGAAGTCTATTCACAGGGCCTTGGGTGGTAGATGCAGATTTTAACACTATCAGATTTCCCTCTGAAAAGAGGAATTGCAGCAGAATTACCAGATCGATGAATGAGTTCTCTAAATTCATCGAAGATATGGAGTTGGTTGATCTTCAATTAGAAGGGGTATCTATACATGGGCTAGAGGGAACAGTCAGGAGACCATTTCTAGGATTGATAGGATTCTGGTTAGTTGGTTGATCTTCAATTAGAAGAGGGTATCTATACATGGGCTAGAGGGAACTGTCAGGAGACCATTTCTAGAATTGATAGGATTCCAGTTTCAGTGGAGTGGAATGATTGTCTCAAAAACATCAAACATGAAATTCTTCCTAGAGTTCGTTCTGATCACACATCTTTAGTGTTAAAGTGTGGCAACTGGGAACACACTAAATCCTATTTCAAGTTCGAAAACTGGTGGTTGGAGACTGAAGGCTTTATTGATAGAGTCTAGAAGTGGTGGTCATCCTTCATCTTTGAAGGAAGACCAGATTACATTCTTGCTTGCAAACTAAGAGCTCTTAAAGGAAAATTGAGAGAATGGAGCTCGAATAGCTATGGCAACCTGAAGAGGGGAAAAAGCCTCATCTTGAACCAAATTGCTGAGTTGGATGCTGTCCAACAAGTCAACAATAGTGGAACCTTAATGAGGAGGAGATGTCCAGGAGAACAAATCTTTCCATCGAATTTGAAGAATTTGCTAAAATGGAAGAAATAGCTTGGAGGCAAAGATCAAGGGCATTATGGCTCAAACAAGGAGACAGGAACGCCAAGTTCTTTCAAAGAACTGCTAATGCACATAAAAGATACAATAACATTAGCAAATTGGAGGTGGATGGAGAGAGTATTGAAGAGCCAGTAGAGATCAAAAGGGAGATTATTGCTTTCTATCAGAAATTATAGTCTGAAACGGAAGAATGGAGACCTACCTGCAACATGAACAATTGTCCTTCTATCTCTGAGGACGAAGAGCAGACATTGCAAAACTCTTTTGAGGAGAATGAAGTCTTAGAGTGCTTGAAGACTTGTGCAATAGACAAAGCTACGGGGCCGGATGGGTATACTATGGTTTTTTTTATCAAATGCTGGGACGTGGTGAAGTCAGACATAATGGCTACTATCCAGAATTTTCATTCTCAGGAGTTCTTTGAAAAGAGTTTTAATACCACTTATGTGGCATTGATACCTAAAAAGAGTGGTGCCAAGGAGTTAAGGGATTTTAGGCCTATCAGTCTCATAGGTAGTATTTATAAACTGATCTCCAAATTACTCACTGAAAGATTATAATGGGTGATGCACAAATTGGTAGATTCATAGCAAATGACATTTATAAAAGGAAGACAAATCACATATGCAGTTTTGATTGCGAATGAGTGCGTAGATTCCAGAATCAAGGAGAAGAGACCAGGAATTATGTGCAAGTTAGTTATTGAAAAGGCATATGACAATGTAAATTGAGAATTTTTGCTTGGAACTCTCCAAAAGATGGGTTTTGGTAGGAAATGGATAAGTTGGATTAGATTCTGTGTAAGCACTGTCAGATTCACCATCTTAATCAATGGATCTCTTGAAGGCTTCTTTCCTTCTGAAAAGGACTTGAGACAGGGCGATCCCTTATCCCCTTTTTATTCATACTTGCCATGGAAGGGTTCAACAATATGGTAAGAACTGCACAGGGCAATGGATGGATTAAGGGCTTCAGTGTGGCAAAGATCCAAACTGACAGGTTGGAGGTTACTCATCTTCAATATGCATATGATACCCTCATTTTCTGTGATGCAGGTGAGAACCAAGTAAAGTATTTAAGAGTTATTCTTATACTTTTTGAAGCCATTTCTAGCCTTCATATTAATTGGAGAAAAAGTCAAATTTTTTCCAGTTAGCGAGGTGCCAAATATTCAGCTGCTGGCAGGGATTTTGGGAGGCGAAATTGATATTATTCCAACCACGTATTTGGGGATGCCTTTGGGAGCAAAGAGCAAATCCAATGATAATCTGGAATGGAGTCCTGGAAAGATGTGAGAAAAAGATAGCAAGATGGAAATCAAATTACATTTCTATGGGTGGTAGATTGGTTCTCATTAACTCTGTACTAGATGCTCTCCCTACATATATGTTGTCCTTATTTCCTATACCTGCAAATGTAGATAAAAGGCTGGACACCTTAAGAAGAAATTTCCTCTGGCATGGAAATAAAGAGAAGAAGGGTTTTCATTTAGTCAAATGGAAAACTTTGACCTTCAGCAAAAAGAAGGGAGGTCTGGGGGTTAGAAACTTGAGAATGCAGAATAAAAGTCTTTTGATGAAGTGGCTTTGGAGGTTTACCATGGAGGAACAAGCTTTGTGGGGCAAGGTGATAAAGGCTAAGTATGGAAAGGAAGGATTTTGGATGACTAAACATGTGAACAATGCTTATGGTACCAGCTTGTGGAGAACTATAAGGAACCTGTGGCCAAATTTTGCGGACAAGCTAAAATTCAATGTAAGGGATGGCAGGAAAACTCTTTTTTGGGAAGATAACTGGTTGGGAATTGGTTGTCTTAAGAATCTTTTTCCAGACATTTATGCTCTGAATCAACAACATAGAGCTACAGTATATGAACTTTGGGGGGCACAAGCATGGAATCTCACATTCAGAAGACCTTGATATGACTGGGAGTTGCCTAGAATAACAGATTTCTTTAACACACCGGAGCTATGCAAAGGACTGCAGGATGGAGAAGATACACTGAGCTGGAGCCAAAATAGCAGTGGGAAGTACACAGTTAGTTCAGCCTATGAGTACCTAAACCAGGATGGAGAACAAGTCAATTTATGGCCTTGGAAACACATTTGGAGGGTTAAGATACCATATAAAGTGGCATGTTTTTCTTGGTTGGTAGTTAGAGAAGCTGTTTTTAACACATGACAATTTGAGGAGAAGGGGAATACCAGTGTGCTCGAGGTGCTACTTATGTGGTCAAGAGGTAGAGACAATCAGCCATGTGTTTCTACATTGTAGAGTGACTAGTCAGTTGTGAGATTTATTCATCAACCTCAGGGGTATTAGGTGGTCAATGCCAGGAAGAATATCTGAACTCTTGTCATGCTGGAATGTAGGGGGGAAGTGTACTACTTCAAACAAAGACCGATGGAAAATTGTTCCTGCAACTATTTGGTGGACAGTATAGAAGGAGAGGAATTCAAGATGCTTTGAAGATACCATTAGCTCTACTAAGAAAATTAAGATGAATTGTATTCTTCTTTTTTGTTTTTGGTGTAAAGCAGAGTATAGTGATGATTTAGAGTCAATTTTACAAGTCCTAGACTCCTTGTAANTGCATTAGGTAGGGGTAAGGTCGGCGTACAGACTACCCTCCCCAGACCCCACCTGTTGGGATCAAACTGGGTTTGTTGTTGTTGTTCTTTTCATGTAATACTTGAACGACACTCAGAGCTTGATAATATCTGTTCAAGTGTATAGATCCTTAAACTTCTGATAGCAAGTGTTCTCCTTCAAATTTTGATTGGAGCAAGTTCAGTTATGGCGGTGTCTGCCAAAACCTAGATAGACCCGCATGATCCCCTCTAAAGAGAAAAAACAAAAATAACGAAAATAAAAGGAAATTTAATGGATAAACAAGTTGAAAATATAGGTAGAATAGAGACAATCATTGATAGATAGTAAGGATTTCTGAGGACAAAGTGATCATGGTAGACTCGAAGAACTGATTTAGGTTACACTGCCTTTGTATTTCCTTGTTATTCCAAACCAGAGCCCTATCTGGCACCTCAATGTTTGATCACATGACATAAAAAAAGGAACAAAAGCCATTTCTTTTTCTAAGGTCTGCCTTTGATTTCTGTAATTGATACACAACAAAATGTTTGGAACAAATGCTGACATGATACTTGCCATTGAATCTTTAAGTTGTTNTTACCATTGAATCTTTAAGTTGTTTTGTTTGCTGTGTATCTGACGATTTCCATGTGCAATTATTTCACTGATCAGTTTCCGTTGAATCGTATGTTTTATTTGCTGTGTATCTGAGGATTTCATGTGCAATTATATCGGTGATCAGCTTATGCTTCCAATGTTTCCCTTCGGTCAGCTGCTCATGGATCTTGTTTATGGGTTTCACTTTATTCATCTAATAATTGTCTTTTATGAATATAGAGCAAGGACAAATTGTTTTCAACACAGCAGGATATTCTTCTGCAAGCAGCCCGAATAATTAAGCAACATGGGGGCAAACTGGCTGATCCATGGACTCAGTGATTCGCTAGATAGAAGATGTCTTNTCGCTGGATAGAAGATGTCTTACCTTTGAGGTTAGATATTTCTTGATTTTGTCTTTTGCATATACTCAACACAATGTACAGTTTTGAGGAATGTATACAGTTCTGAGGAATGAGTGACGCTGTAGCTTGTGAATATCTTATGCAAGCTTGTGCTGTTTGGCCAAAAAGGGGTGATCATGTAATATTTTGACAGAGCATCTTAAACATTATAGGAGCTATCAACCCTTACACTTTCGTGAAAATAAATCCTTGATACTTTAGAAAGGCTGTTTAGCTAGTTGATAGATATTGAACTGGGTGAAAGAATTTCTTCAACTTAGAATAGAATATAGGCGCATGTTTTAAAATATAACTGGTGCATCCTAAAAAACTGAATATTCTTACCTACCTCACTGTCAAGGATTGCATGGGGGTAAGGATGGTAAAAATGGTTAAGAAAAGGAAATGCATAATCTGTGTGACACATACTTGGGAATTGCTGAACAGCTGGCAATACAGTTGTAGATTAAGATTGGAGATTGACATGCATTGACACATAGAAATTATTTGTACTTTGCTGGTTGATGAATAAACCTTAATCTCACCATTACTTTCCGAATATTCAACAAAGTTTTTGATGTAGGAGTTATAAAGCTTCCGGTCTCCAAAATTGCAGCATCCTTTCTTGCTCAAGCTCTAAGCTCTTCCCCTTCCTCCGAGACCATTGCTTCTTAATGACATTGCCATTGCGATTTCATTTCCACTAAATGATCCATCTTCTTCGTTACTCTTCTCCTTAATCGCTACTCCTTTTGCTACTAGCAATCTTGCATTCAATCCTTGTTCAAAGCAAAGAGCAACACCACAAGAACATGACCGTGCTTCAAAGTTTCAATGGCTGAACCGAAACCTGCACGTACAGGGATCCTCCAATAGATAAATGTTCTAGAATTTCCGTCTTTGGTTCCCAGCCAATGTGCACCAACCCTATCTCCTCCGTTGCCAAAACCTGATGGTAAAGCATCAATGTCGTTTGTTAGTTTACAGATATGTATAGTGTAGTCTTGTCCCACATTGGAAGAGGAGCAATATCTCCTTGTAGTGTATAGTTATAAATAGGGACCCCTTGTATTGTATTTATCATCCAATATCAATAACATATTTTCTCCCATGCCTTCTCACATGGTATCAGAGCATTAGTGAGAAAAGATCGTTGTGCGTCATTCCAGCGTTAACCGGGAAGAAAGAACTTAGTCATCGTGCAATTTTTCCGGTGACCTAAGGCTTGTCTAAGTGAAAGTCACTTTCTGTCGGTGTTGTGCTAAAACCAACACCACCACGAGGTAGATCACCCTCCGACGACCAACCCCTGAAATTTTATCCGGCAGAAAAGCTGCCACGCTACTCCACGCGCCGGCAACAACAACTTTTCCGGCGAGGGTTCCGGCCACTTTCCGACCATTTTTTCGCGAAGCTTCTTCAGGACAGTGTGCTCTCCTCAAAATTCTGAGCTTACCCATCTAATTCAAATCAAATTCCGACCACTTTTATATTTTTTCGGCGTGAACAGTGACCTTTCCGGCCATTTTTTGAAAACATTTCTTCAGGACAGCTTGCTCGCAAAGGAATTCCGAGTCTATCCATCCTGGTTTCGACAAATTCCGACAACTTTGGAATTTTCGGGCGAGCTACAGTGTTTTCGGCGTGAATAGTATTTCCGGCTACAGTGTTTCAAGTTAACCCTACTACTACAAATTGTAGTGACATGGGAACCGATGCTTTGAATAGTCGGATGGTTTCTTTAGCAGAGTATATTGAGTTCCTTCAGTATAAAGCATGTAAGCAGACATCTTCTGAGATGGTTTCTGTTGTTCAAACAGGTAATAGCATGACTTGTTTCTCCCCATCTCCCCATCTTCATCCTCTGAGTCTTGGGTCATTGATTCAGGTGCATCAGATCATATTTCTGCTAACAAATTTCTTTTCACTACTATTTCGTATTCTCAATCTCTTTCAAAAGTCACAATGGCCAATGAGTCTCAAATCATGGCAACTGCAATAGGCCAAGCAAGCCCACTTCCTTCCTTACCTTTAAATTCGGTCCTTTATGTTCCCAATAGTTCTTTTAATCTCATAGCTGTTAGTCGCTTAGCCAAATCACTTAAATGCGCTGTTTTATTTCTTGATGACCCATGTTTTTATGCAGGAACACAGTACGGGGCGAATCATTGGTACCGAGCATGAATCAAACGGACTTTATTACCTTATCCTTGCTAAATCACATGGACTCACATCTTCTCTTCCTTCTACAACTTGTTCTGTTACTGATTCACCAGATTTATTACATAAATGGTTGGGACATCCCAGTTTATCAAAACTTCAGAAAATGGTATCTGGTTTATCTCACTTGTCAGCTCTAGAGTGTGAGTCATGTCAGCTCGGTAAGCATACCCGCTCCCATTTCCCTTGGCGTCTTGATAATCGAGCACAGTCACCTTTTACTTGAGTCCATTCAGATGTTTGGGGTCCTAGTCGGGTCAGTTCCACATTGAGATTCCGCTACTTTGTCAGTTTCATTGATGATTATTCCAGGTGCACTTGGATATTTTTGATAAGAAATCGATCTGAGTTGTTTTTTATTTTCCAGACCTTCCACGCTGAAATTCAAAATCAATTTGGGGTTTCTATTCGCACATTTCGTAGTGATAATGCCTGAGAGTATTTGTCTTCCCCATTTCAGCAACTTATGAAATCTCATGGGATTATTTATCAAACATCTTGTCCGTACACATCTCAACAAAATGGGGTAGCTGAAAGAAAGAATAGACATCTTATTGAAACTGCTCGTACCCTACTCATACAATCTCATGCTCCGTTGTGTTTTTGGGGGGATGCAATTCTTACATATTGCTATCTTATTAATCGTATGCCATCTTCAGCTATCCAGAACTAAGTTCCATTCTCTGTCAT